CCCTCCCTCCCTCCCCTCCCCTCCCCCGGGGGCGGGTCTCTCGTGCCTTGTTAACCCTTCGCCCGAACCACCCGAACACGCGATACTGTATTCCCACGAGGACATCCTCCTGATCGGCAAACGAACGTATAGTAAGCGCCAGGTAACAGGAACAGAGTGGGAAAGGGATCTTGGAGGTCATCTAGTCCAACCCTTCCCTCCCCCACCCCCCAAAAAGCAGGAGACCTTACACCATTTCTGGCAGATGGCAGTCCAGTCTTTCCAGTCCAGTTGGTGGTGGCTCCTTAGCTAAGACACTGAGCTTGTCGATCCGAAAGGTCGGCAGTTTGGCGTTTCGAATCCCTACCCTAGGTCTCCTGCGTGAGCACGGGGTTGGACTAGATGACCTCCAAGATCCCTTTCCCACTCTGTTCCTGTTACCTGGCGCTTACTATACGTTCGTTTGCCGATCAGGAGGATGTCCTCGTGGGAATACAGTATCGCGTGTTCGGGTGGTTCGGGCGAAGGGTTAACAAGGCACGAGAGACCCGCCCCCGGGGGAGGGGAGGGGAGGGAGGGAGGGAGGGAGAAAGGTGGGGGCGGTCTCTGTCAATCAACGCCTCGGGGGGAGAAGCAAAGCCGATAAGCCCGTCGCCTCCTTCTCTCTCTCACACACACATCCCCCCCTCCCCCTCCGGGTTGCGAGCATTCCATTCTGGAACGCAGAGGATTTCCCAACGTTCGGAAGGAACGCCGGCCGGCCAATCAGATTGCAGAAAGGGAAAGGGCTTTTGCGGTCTTGGGGTCTCGCGCTGCCCTGTCCCTCCTCGTTTTTTTTTTTCTCTCTCTCCCCCTCCACGTGCCTTTCACTTTGATCTCGCCGCCGTCTCCCTGCTCGCTGCTTTTTTTCCCCCTTCTCTCTGTCCCTTTTTTTTGGTGAGCTCGTCCTCTTTCGCTTTCCTTTCTTCCGTGCCCATCGAAAAAGGCCAAGCCCGCCTCCGGGAGCCATGGCGGCTTGGGTGAGAGCGGGGAAGGAGAAAAACCACGCCGGCGAAGGAGAGGAAGAGGAGGAGGAGGAAGAAGAAGAGGAGGAAGAAGGAGAAGAAGAAGAGGCCGGAGCGGGAGGGCTTTGGGAGTACGATTCCACTTGGGAAGAGGAGGAAGAGGAGGAGGAAGGGAGGAAGGAGAAGAAGACCCGGGAACGGGCGTCTCAAGCCGCCAACCTGGAAGAAGGCAAAGTCCGGGAAAAGCACGGCTGGTGGGCCTCCGCTAGCCAGGTGAGCGATTCCTCGGGAACAAAAGAATATAATAGAAAATAGAACAGGACAGGAAAGAAGAATAGAATGGAACAGAACAGAACAAGGAAGAAGAATAGAATGGGATAGAATAGAATTCTTTATTGGCCAAGTCTGATTGAAGACGAGCAGGAGGCGATCGCTCTGGTTGTGCCTGTTTATTTATTTTATTTACCGTAGTTTGTCACTCACGTTCAAGAGGAATAGAAATAAATATGAATGAGAACACAGGAAACGGGTACAAATAAATGGGGACAGTAGGACAGGGACGGTGTCACTTCCTGACCTCTTAGGAATGGGGTGGGGTCGACAGTAGACAGTTTAAGGTTAAAGTTTTGGGGGGTTTGAGGACGTAGCAACGGAGTCAGGTAGAGCATTGACCACTCTGGTGCTGAAGTCATCTTTTATTTATTTATTTTATTTATTTGGAGTTTTTATATACCGCCCAATCCCAAAGGACTCCGGGCGGCTTACAAGAAATATAAAAAACACATAACGACAAAACAATATAAAAACAACAGACGCCCCTCATACATTCATTCTAGTCGGGGCCGGACCTCAACAGTGAGGTCAACA